ATATGATATTTGTGTTGTTACTCTGAGTGTATATCCACACCGGGCGAGCTTGAAAAATATGCCCGGCCACGGTGGGATTCGAACCTACGACCTTTGGAATACTAGCCCAATGCTCTTCCAACTGAGCTACGCGGTCAGGACGGTTCGAGTAAGTGATATTTCGGAACAGAATCTAGTTCCTTCGATACCAATGTATTCTAGTAATATGATTTTTTTCTATTTCAAAGAGAAAAATTTTAAATATGTTTTGAATAAGTTTAAAAATGCCAGGATTGTAGTAGCATTTACGATATTTACAGGTTACAAATACAATTTTGCCTGGTGTTGATGAATATTTTCTAAATACTGAGGAAGCAAATATACACAAACACACAAACAATTTAACAATATTAAACTGCAAACTTTTGAAATAACACAGCAATGCCAGTTTCATTAGCTTGCCTGAATCACTTACTTGATTCCAGGAACCTATCCGGATTGAAGGTCTCCGGATCCGACCAATATTCAGGTTTGCGATGGAGAACGTAGGGTGGAATGACAATCACAGAGTCAGCAGGTATGTTGTAGCCTAGAATGTTATCGTCTTGAATTACTTTTCTACGATATACAGCAGCTGGAGGTCGAAGACGCATTGACTCGTTTATCACAGCTGCAAGATACTCCATTGATTCGTAGGCTTCCCAACTCCCTTCTTGTTCGGTTAATGTCTCTTTAACTTCCCGACGGATTTTTTCCTGAATGTCAGGGTATTGAGCAAGATGATAAAAGATCCAAGACAAGGCAACAGAACTTGTTTCGTGGCCAGCAAATAAAAATGTGAATACCTCGCCAAATAGCTCTTCTTCATCCATACCTTGGCCAGTCTCGTCATCAACAGCCTCAAGAAGACGATCCAGTAGGTCTTTTCGTGTTGTAGAAATGTCTGGTTTCTTTTCACGTTTATCATCGATTATCTATACAAATATGGTAATATGATTGGGAAAATGAGAAAATGTTTTACAATTGCGAAACACAGACATTATGGAAGGTAGAAAGAACACCAGCTGGCGGATAGAAAAGAATTGCATTCACCATTGCTCTCGCGACCTATAGTGTCACGTACCATGGTTCATGTTTGATCATTCATCTTTATATGTCACGCTTCTAGGCAAGGTTATAAATCATTTTAATTAACAAATTTCAATTTCGAGGTAAATTAAAAGGACAAAGGCAAATGATGATGAACCGGTTCGATAATCCAAAGCGTGCAAAGTAGTAAAGTTGTAGGGGGAAAACTAACGTAGTTACAATACTCTAACTACAGTATGTTGAAGGTTATCTAGTGTACATACTCAATTGCATGATAACTACGTCATCAGAGCCGCCGAGAGGGGAGGCAGGGGGGGCAAATTGCCCCGGGCCCCGAGGTGCTGGGGGCCCCTGAAAAATTTTTGTTGGGCCCCAGTCTTTTTTCTGTGTTAAATATTTCCGCGCAAAGGATAACATATCTGTTTTATTGGGCTAAGTACCGAAATTATGCATAAAAAATGATATAAAGTCTCTGGAAAGTGCGTGCAATCTACTCGTCCGGAAAAATTTTTGACCCCTAAAATGGTACACTGACCGAATTTTTTTTGGCGGGGGGGGGGAGGTTGTTGTCCGGAAAAAACTTTTCCGGAAAATTTTTTTTCAAAAAGGGGCCCCCCAAAAATTTTTTGCCCCGGGCCCCCGCCAACCTCTCTGCGCCACAGTACGTCATCCATCATATAACCTCAATCGAAATCAACAGGTTGTGCCTATATGTGCTGTAAATTGCGTTATGTTAACACAGTTGGCGTTTCTTATAACATACTGATTTGTGTAAATTCAATTACAGTATGTGTGCCTATCATCAGACAATACACATGGTTACACAACACAACTATTGTGGGAAATAGCTGGAAATGCTCACAACACCAGTCCCCCAATCATAAAATCGGTGACCGGTCTGCGATCTCTTCTGGCTGGGTATCAGTTACCATCCGGGAGTATACAGTATAACAATACATAGTGAAAGCAAAATAACCAAAGCTAAGATTAAGACATTCACGAGGTGGGCGGCGAAGCATGATTGTGTCAATGGCATTGCCACAAGTCAACTTCCGCGTATTTATTGTATGAAATATGAATGACAAGAGCTAGCGCTAACATTCTCCATGATTCACCCACCCGAGGACTTACTTACATGCTCTGGAACAGTGGCGTAGCCAGCCCAACGAATTAGTCCCGCTATTCAAATTTAAACTCATCATTATTCATTTCTTTAGAAATTTATTGTGTTGATGGTTTATAAACATGGCAATATTTGCATAGCGGCCTAGATCGTCGGGCTGGCTACGCTACTGCTCTCGAAGATCCCAATGACCAAGTCAATGCTCTAAATACTTTATTTGCGCCTTTGCGATGTATCAGATT